TATGTGGGAGGTGATGACAGTGACTTAGAGGTCTTTGACCTAAAAAAAAGCCTGTGTGATCATCATAGACAAATCAGTGTTTCAGAAGGAGGAAAAGATGTGTGCACCTTTTGCAAGATGGACCTTCAGAGTTGTCATTGATTCTTTTTATTTTAATCGCAACACACCTTTATTTAGTCTTTCCAAAGCTTTCAATTTAATGTTTATAGAAACAAGAAGTCCTTTTTTTTTTTTTTTACTATCTAATTAAATTATGTAATTACCATAGTGAGAACAATAGATATGAACAAATTTGGGAACAAATACAGGGCACTCTTGCCAAATGCATGATCTACCATAAGACAAAGGACTTCCTACTCAATCCTGTGCCAGCCACCAGCCTTCAGAGTCTCCAGGACATCCACAAAATAAATTCCATAGAGAGCATGGGGCACGTTGGTTAATCTGGCAAATAGGTTAAATGAGATGCAGTTAAAAGAGCTGCAACTGGTAGAAATATATATACAGTGCATATTTTTTTGTGCAGACATGTGAATGAAATACTTTTATGGAAGTGATTATGCTTTTCTTTTATCTTCTGGCTCAACCTTTTGCAAAGTCTGGTTCCAGTTTCAACTGGTCCGGTAGGATTTCAAAAACAATAGCTTTGATTTTGTTTTCAGTTCAATAATAATAAAAAAAAATCAATACTTGGGTTGGGTTCAGAGTTCAGTCAATTCGTGTGTCCATTTTGGTTTGTGAGTCATATTATCCTGGCCCACATTACAGTGAGGAATGATTCAGAATCAGTGCTTTTTGTCTTCTAGCTAAGAGTCTAAAAATGCCTCAGGCCTTTTTTGTCGTAAGACATCCTTGTTCTAAGCAATCCTGAAGTGACACTTATTGGGGACCAAAAATCATTAACAGGAAGAGAATGGCATAAGAACCCGCTATTTCTTTTTTTTTTTTTCAACGTTTATTTATTTTTGGGACAGAGAGAGACAGAGCATGAACGGGGGAGGGGCAGAGAGAGAGGGAGACACAGAATCGGAAACAGGCTCCAGGCTCCGAGCCATCAGCCCAGAGCCTGACGCGGGGCTCGAACTCACGGACCGTGAGATCGTGACCTGGCTGAAGTCGGACGCTCAACCGACTGCGCCACCCAGGCGCCCCAAGAACCCGCTATTTCTTGATTTTGACACTGAAGGTGGTTGTCTTGCTCTCCATTTCCCCTTCATGGTATCAGTATTGGTTGAACACATTTTGGATTCATTGAAAGTTTGTTACCTTAGGAACAGAACACATCGGTATTTCTGACTTAGTCACAAAAGAGTCACGGAGCATTCTCTTCAAAACCTAAGGACAATTCCATGGGTGCCTGGTAGTGGAGGAGGTCAGAGGACCACTCAGCCAAGGTCTACCCTTTCTTCCCAGACCTGGGCCAAACTTGGCCATTCAGAATGGAAATACAACCAGCGGCACATGCAGGGGCACTGTATGGTTTGCTTTGATTCTCCCCATGGATCCTTTCTCTAGGAGCTTCCCTCACACTATCTTGCCTCCTTGTGCTGTTCTTAAGGTGTCAAAATCCCCTTTTTTAGTGTGAACTATATGGTCATGGATGGAAATTGACATAGTATGAACTTGTATGTAATTTAGTATAGATACAGATGGATCTATGTCTGTGTCTAAATCTATATCTATGTCATATGTCTATATATATGGTACAAATATAGATATGTGTGTATACACATTTATATTTCCTAGCTCTGTCCACTGAGCGGGCTTAGAAGTAATGACACCCCAGTAGCAATGAGCACACCTAGTGCTCAGATCTTGGTTTCTAAAACCATTCTCCCATAAACAGAACCAGAGCTCCTTGGAGAAATAGCAGATTCTAGGGCTGGGAAAGGGAATATGCAAGATGAATGTGGAGCACCTAGCAGTGCCAAAAGTTCAAGAAGTACTAAAAAAGCAAAGTGAGGGGGTATGTCAAAGGGACACAGGAACCAACTGAAAGAACTCCCAATAGAAAAAGCTGGAACATTTTGAGTAACAAAATAAACAATATAGTATTGGATTTGTACCCAAAGTACAAAATAAATATTCCTAAGCCTATACTGATATAAATAAATTATTGAATAAATAAATAAAGGGAGAGAACAGACAAACCTCCTGAACAGAAGAATCCCAAATAATTTATGTAGATACTTCTCACTCAAAGAGGTGGAGCATAGTTTCCTACCCCTTAAGTGTGGGCCATCACAGTGACTTTCTTTTAATGAGCACAGTGGAGATACCTGACAAACTGCCTGAGCCAGATGGTCAACGTCAATGTCAACAGTGATAAGTCACGTTGATAGCAGGTACCTTTGATATGATGTGGTAGGAATGGCACTTTCCCTCTGTGATCTTCCTCCCCAAATCCCCAGTCTATTCATGAGAAAAAAAAACCAGACAAACCGAAACTGAGGAACATTCTGCCTGCCCAGTACTCGCCCTAAACTGTCAAGCTCAACAAAAACAAGGGAAGTCTGGGGAACTGTCGCAGTCTAGAGGAGCTTAAGGGGCATGAAGACTAAATGCAATGTGATAGTCTCATGGCAATCTAGTACAGAAAAATGACATTAGGTAAAAACTACAGAAATGTGAATAAAGCTTCATTCAATTATAATGTATCCATGTTAGTTCATCAGTCATGACAAATGTTCCATATTAATGTTAGCACTATGAGACACTGGGTGTGGGGTATATGGGAACTCTGTAATATACTCACACCTTTTTCTGTAAGTCTAAAATGTACAGAAATAAAAATAAAATAAAAAGTTTATTTTGAGAAATCGCCCCAACCCCTGTTGCCACTTCTCTTCTTTCTCCTGACCCTATGTTTCCCAACATATTAGTCTGCATCCTGTGCCTTGGTCATGCAATAAATTGCAGTGACACTAACAGGCAGCCTTCACATATCTCTGAATTCAATGTGGTAGCTCTTGCTTGTTGGCATGAAGAGTTCTGGTTTTCCAGCACCCTTGTTTCTTGGCTTATCTAGTTTCTCGGGGCTTATCTGAGGCATTTTTATTGGCTATAATATGTCTGAGAAATAGTTTGTTTGCAGCTTAGTGGAGACTTGTGCATTGTCTCTTGCTGCTGGAGGAGACAGACTGCATTCCTAGGTCAGGGACACATTGCCCTCCACGTGAGGATGGCAGAATCTTCCAGGGCTGTCACATCTAATTCTGATGACGCTGACATCTTCCTGAAGGCAGCCTGGGTAGCCCTCTTCTGCTTCCTTGTGCTTCTTCACCATCTATCTCCTTGAATGTGATAAAACCTCTGTTTCATCTTCTGGAGCATTATTCCCATCTCCTTTTTCCTCTTAATCTTTGCTTTCAAGTATTCTCCTAAGAATAGATGTGCGACGGGGGCGCCTGGGTGACTCAGTTGGTTGGGTGTCCGACTCAGGTCGTGATCTCACAGTTTGTGGGTTCGAGCCCCGCGTCGGGCTCTGTGCTGACAGCTCAGAGCCTGGAGCCTGCTTCGATTCTGTGTCTCCCTCTCTCTCTGCCCCTCGCCTGCTCACACTCTGTCTCCCTCTCTCTCAAAAATAAACATTAAGAAAATGTTTAAAAATATTAAAAAAAAAGAATAGATTTGCGAGGATTGATTATATGGCTGTATAAGGTACCAAGAGGGGCAGAACTTAAAGTGTTTAGAATTAGAAGCTGATAACAAGGCATTCTGTCTAGGGAAGATCTCTTGAATATCCCCTCTTAGGTAAAAGGGGTTACTTACCGTTCCAGGACCACTCCATATGGTAGCTCTGTGCAAATTAGCAGGAAGTACCCTCTCTAGGCAGCAGCTAGCTACCTCTCTAGTTTCAGCCCTGCAGGCAAAATCTGATGGGGAAATTAGGACTGGATTTCAGGTCCCAAACGTCTCCTCAGCTAGTCAGCCTTGTGCAGTAGACAACATAAACAACTATTCATTATGACCCTGAATGTATGGTAGGTAATAATCCATTGCAGGGAAGAGTGTTCAGGATAACCACTTCTTATGTGAGTACCTGGAATCAGGGTTCAAATTGTCTTGGGAGTCCTCTGGAAGAAAGGGGTTAAGACCCATGCCAAGTGGAGTGCTGGACTTGGCTCTTATTGGTTCATGAGGTTTAATTATTAACTTTTCAGGAGTTTTATGAGTTAGTTATTAAGCCTAGTGATTATTAAAAATTTAAGTATACAAACTTACAATTAAATTATATTGATACAAATGTAGTGAAAACCCAAAATTTATTACTTCCTAATTATTTGCTATATTTTACTATCATCTATGCTCTTGAAGTTATTTACATCTATCGTATCTGTATGGCGGAGATAGTACATACTGGTGTGCTACCGCTCATCTCCTGACTCTGTTCAGTGACATCATGTCAATAGCTTGAAATTGACCGTGGTGGCCACAGAAATAAGCAAATGCTATAAATCAGCTCCCACTCCCCCAGAAAAGGGAAAAGCAGAGAGATGGGCTGGGACCCACAAATGTTAGGGGTGGGCCTACAGGACGAGAACCACTTGGGACTCCCAGAGATCCTGAGAGGAACTGGGAGGCTGGATCTCCCATGTTGGTTGGTCGGGGACTTCCTTTGCTCCTCAAAGGAACATTAGCTTCTGCAGTGGTTCACTCAAGCAAGCGCCCCCAAGGTCTATGTTACCATGTCCGGGTGACTCAGGCTGGGTGAGCAGTGTTATGGAGCCCAATGGGGACTGGAACAGAATTTCATGGGGAAAAGTATGGCAGGTTACCACATGAACCCATGGGACCTGCTCCCTTCTGATGCAGCTCCACAGGTGGTGTTCAGACTCCTCCCCATCTATCCAAATATCTGGGGAGGAGCTGTGGCTCAGGAGAAGGGTGAGGCGTGGGGGACAGTGTCACTCAGTGGGAAGGTGACAAGGTAATGTTGCTCTCACCCTCTCTCTCTTCTAACTTTGTCCTTTCTTTCTCCCCTGAACCCCCTCCACAGGCAAGCCCTGCCTTTTGACAGCTCTGGGAACAGGGGTCTTGGGTAACGGTGAGGTGGGACTTGCGCAGGGCAAGGGTGTGTGGAGAGGAGAAGCAGGAAATTCCTGGTCTGCCATGGGGTGGGGCATTCCTGGGACAGACCAGCTCAGACTTCTCCTGAGGCAGCCCCCAGCCAAGCACACAGAAATGGTCTTCTGCTGTGAACAGTGAGCAGCTTTCAGCAGCTACAGAAAGAGCTACCCAGTGCCTTGCTCAGCAAAATTTTGGAGAGAGCACTTGTGGACCTGAGCTAGTGTGGCAAAGGGCTCAGGCATTAGAGTCAGAAGAACGCAGGTTTGAATTCCGGCATTTCCTGTGCAAGAACTTAAGCAAGTAAATGACATTTCCCCTCAGCCTTGCTCAGCCTGTTTCCTCGCCTGTGAAATACCTTCCTCTCCTCTGCGTGTGAGTGATGGCCTTCAACAATCTCCAACAGTGGCTGTTTTTAATAGATCTCCTTTCACTCTGTTGGTTTGTTTTTCTATCCTTACCGTGAGTTCAGTACCCAAGAACTGGTTGTCTTGTTTCTGTTTTTAAAAGCAGCTTTGGCAACAAATAAGTAAACATGAGTATGTTCTATCACTGAGCTTGGCTCTAGAAAACCTTTTTATGTGTTAAAGCTCATAATGACAACAATGACTGCTAGACTGATAAAGCAGCATGTGGAGGACACAGATGTTATCATGACTTCTTAATGTGTCAGTCCCCATTTTATAGCCACTAGAAAGGCACACCATGATATATACTTTTATACTGAGAGTTTGGGCTATCTGCTATATGTTGATTGCACCAGTCAATGGCTAAGGCCCCAAACTGATCATGTTTCTCACTCCTTAAACATCTCCAGTGACCCCCCCATTGCCCAAAGGACCGGGCCCACGCTTGGCAGGCAAAACCATTGCTAATGTGATCCAAACAAACTTTTCAGCAGCTTCGTGGCCTGCCTCCCCAACCCTCTCCCTCCTTTCACCGCATCTATGCCCAGGAGAATGGATTTCACCACTTCCTGAACATATCCTGCTCCCTCATGCTTCTGAGCCTCTGCTTTTACCCTTCTTATTTTGTTTCTCTGGAGAACATTCTTCCACATTCTTCAACATCCAGCATTAATACATCTCTGTGAATTATTCCCCAATTCCTTCAGGCAGACCTGTGTGTACCGTCTTTTTGCTAATGGGAAGAGAGCTTTACCTGCCTATATTAACTTACAGCATTCTGTTGAATACAGAGGCATCGGTCTACATTACTGGCCTGGGAATGAACTCTCCAGTTTCTTCAACTGATACATGGGAGTAATAGTAACCTTATAGGGCTGTTGAGAGGATTAGACATGAAAGTGTGCTACTGAGCAGTGCCAGACACAAATAATCGCCCAATGAATGATAACTGTAATTATTGGATCAAAGTGTCCATGTTCTCTTGACAGACCCCTCTACATCTAGTAACTCATGGCTGTGAGACAAACATCTTGAACAGAGATTCTATTGGTGTGGAACCAATCCATTTGAGAGTCAGACCATTGACCTTGATCCTGTTGGCACCATGCCCAGCCTAATTGTATTTGAAGATCAGAGGTAAGGCTCAAGTGGGTCAAATGTCTAGAGAAATAAGAAGAACCATTTATACAAGGTAGCCATGAATCTTACCCCTAGTTACATTCCACACGGGCACCTCAATTGTTTCCTTACTGCTAGCCTTGATTGTTATCTTTGGTGGTTATTAATTAAAGTTGTTATATGCCTTTCCCACATATGTTTGAATTTCACAAGTCATATACTTCCAGGACAAGAGCCAAAACGAATCAACCCAGTCTTTGGAAAAGCAGCTGATGGGGGCATAATCCACTTTAATTAACATTGAGCATTTGAGATTGAACGCACAGAAGGAACACTGATGAATTGGTTAATTTTGTCTTCCCTGTACCTTAACCATTCAGTCTTTACCCGCCTCTATTTGATACATACTCTTCTGAATGTTTTGTTACAAGTATAGTGTTTTCATCAACTGCGAATTTCATTTGTGCTCAGAAAGCATTCAGGTTGCCACGCTAAAGGAAAGCTGAGAGGCAGCTCAGATACTTGCTAAGCCAGCATTCAGGGTGACCTGCACAAGTGTCTTGAGGCTGCTGCCCTTCACCTAAACAGCTTGGCCTGGCCACAGTATTCGAGCTGGCAAGAAAATAAGCCAGAACTCTTCAGTACTTTTTGTGCTGGAGTCACATTTGCACATATGGTTTGAAATGGGCTCTTGACAAAGGTGGCTCCTCCCCGTCCTTCCACTGCTCTGGCTTGCTTCAGTGCAAGAGGGCCACCAGCAGTTTCTGGAAGTCCCCAGACGTGTCTGAGCAGACCATGTCAGACAGAGACTTCTGATACTTCTCTTGGAACTTTGCCTTTATCCCCTGAAGGTCCACCTGTAGGAGAAATGACGACAGCAGTGAGGACAAGGACATCTATAGGGTGTTCACTATGAATGCAGGTGGGCACTGTTCTGAATACATTACCCTCACTTGCTCCTGTATGCCTCAACACAACCCTTGGAGGTAGGGGCTATCCCTGTTATGACTATTATTTTATGGATGGGAAAGGAAAGCCGAGTCCAGCTCCGGTTACAGAGGTGAATATATATATATATACATATATATATATATATGTATATATATATATCCCAGTATAAATTTATTTATGGACACAAAAACTTGAGTTTCAGATGATTTTTATGTATTACAAAATATTTTTCCCTTGAGTTTTTTACAGTCATTTAAAAACGAATCATTCGGGGCGCCTGGGTGGCGCAGTCGGTTAAGCGTCCGACTTCAGCTCAGGTCACGATCTCGCAGTCCGGGAGTTCGAGCCCCGCGTCGGGCTCTGGGCTGATGGCTCAGAGCCTGGAGCCTGCTTCCGATTCTGTGTCTCCCTCTCTCTCTCTGCCCCTCCCCCGTTCATGCTCTGTCTCTCTCTGTCCCCAAAATAAATAAACGTTGAAAAAACAAAAAAAAATTAAAAACAAAACAAAACAAAACAAAACAAAAAAAAAAAAACGAATCATTCTTAGGTAGCAAGCCTATATAAAAACAGGCACACCTGCAGGTCACAATTTGCTGACTCTTGGTATAGGGTTAAGAAACGTATCAACACAGAGATTTGAAATGAAGCTTTTTTTTTTTTCCTTCTTGTACCCTGATCAGCAAGGCCATTAATGCCAATCAATACAATTCAAATCGATACCAATTTGTAGGACTTATTTTCGACCTAATTCATTGAAAGCTTGAAAAACCTGGGTGCTGGAAATGGGCAGAGGACTCAGAAGGAAAACAAATAAGAAGACTGTTCCACTCCAGATATTCTTAGAACCTAGTGAGGGAGACAATACTGGCAACAGAAAAGATGTAAGCACAGAGAGAACACAGTGTGTCTCGTAAAAGAAGCAGAGAGCTCTCTTCAACCAGGAGTTGTGTTCTTTTTATAATTTTTAAAACTTTAGACTCTATCGTGCATTCCAGACAGATCCACAACCCGTCATTCAGCCTTCTGGTTCTTTTTCCTCCTGCCCCAGTTGGAGGGATGAACTAAGAAAGAAGATGAGAGCAGAAGGCAGGGGAACGAAGGATTGTGCCAAGCGGATGCTGAGCAGGAGGGAGACTCCGGCAGGATGTTGCCTGTGCCCCCTCCCCGTCCCCCGACTTGTCCGCTACTTGGCTGGGGGAGGGGGCAGGACGGTGTCAGTCAGTGTGGGGGTGGGATGGGGCACACCGGGGTTCTGTTCTAGTATTATGGGGCTTTGGAGAGATGAGGGTATGGCCAATATATCTGGCTGGGCCTGAAGCATTCCAAGGAGATGCTTAGTCTCCTAAACTATCCCAGGACATGTGGCCAATACTAAGATGGGACAGAGCTCTGGTGGGCCCTCCAGAATGTTCCAACCCTCTGGGGTCTTTCAGAACCCCCACCCTGCTCCGTGTTGCGCATGCTTCTATGAGCCTCAGAATCTCTTGAGACTTTGGCAGGAGCATGGGGGGATGGAGATGGTTTGCTAAGAGACAGAGAGACAGAGACCGTGGACATCTGGAGAGACAGTGGAGGAGAGAACTCAGGAGAGTGGCGGAGAGATGGGGAAGGGAAGGAAGGGAGAGCAAGAGAAACAGACAGTAAGCCAGAAGAAAACTATGAACAGTGGAGGGGGAGGAGAAATTCCTGGAACAGAAATAAAAACGAAAGAACGGTCTTGTTGCTAAGTTATATTTAAAAATGGTGTCAGATGTTAAGTATTATTTGTCAAAGCCATGGGCCAGGATTTGGGTTGGGATCTGTCCCCCTTCATTTAACAATTTTTTTTTTTTTTTTTTTTGAGGGAAGATGTCTGTGGTTTTTCAAGTGCTCAGTTACACTTCATTCTCCAAGGCTTCTCCCACTGCGGTCGAGATGCCATTTCCCCTTCACTTGTCTCCTCCTTCCCTCTGTGACCCGTGTGCCAGAGCATTGGTGCTGAATCTCGACAGCTGCTCACAGGCCGTGGGTGCTCATCTCCCTCTTTCTTACAGTCATGCATTCCCAAAGGTGGGCGATATCGCTCCCAACAGGGCAAAAATGCATTCTTAGAGGGTGAAAAGAACCTTAATCTTTTTATGTCAAAACGCGCGCGTGCACACACACACACACACACACACAGGCGCGCACACGCGCGCACATACATACAGAACAGAATCTATAGATGTGTTTACTGAACACAATATATACATACAGAATATGACAGAATATGTGTAAACGGAACATAAACAGATACAAAGTCCCTCTGTGGTGTTCATGTTTTGGGCGAGTGGCAATTAGGAAAAAACTGGGCCCCAAAAGGCTCCTTAGTGGGACGATTACTACTAATAATTTTAAAAAAGGTTGAGGGACGCCTGGGTGGCTCAGTCGGTTAAGCGTCAGACTTCCGCTCAGGTCGTGATGTTGCGATTCGTGAGTTTGAGCCCCGCATCGGGCTCTGTGCTGACAGCTCGGAACCTGAGGCCTGTTTCAGGATCTCTCTCTCTCTCTCTCTCTCTCTCTCTCTCTGCCCCTCCCCTGCTCGTGCTTTGTCTCTCTCTCTCAAAAGTAAATAAACATGAAAAAATTTTTTTAAAAAGGTTGAGAAATACTGTCTTGTACTGATGTGTCTTTTGTGCAAAGCTGTGCTTCTGTGGTGTGTTTAATTAAAGGCCTGGCTGGGGAGCAAGGCAGTCATTTGCTCATTGTCTCTGCTGCTGGGTGACCTCGTCCGTCCCCATCCTTGCAGTGTCTCTGGTCCGTCTTCCTTACAGTGGAGCCGAGTGTGGGCTGCACTCCCCCAGGTCCCCGTGCACAGGCCCCGAGCTCTCTGGAGCCACACATGGCAAAAATAGAAGCAACTATCATTATTGTATTTTTATAAAAAGAAACAGATTGAAGCATGGCACAAGGTCTTCCACAAAGTCTGGGAAGGCGAGGGCTGTCTCTGTTTCACTTTTTCTGTAAATAAACCCTTAAGAAAAACTTTGTTGATGACATCAGCGGTGGCCAAAAGAGAAGTGGTGGCCCACGTGCTGGGAGTGGAGTGTGTCTTACCTCAGCCCTGGTCACGATGATGTGAATTAGTGTCTCCTCATCGGTGCCTGCACCCTTCATGGACTTGTACAGACGGTCAGCAAAATAGCCCTCCTGGTCCCGGGCACACCTCACTGGGCAGGACGAGGGACAAGAGAAGGTGAGGCTTTTACATGTTGTTGAAGAACATGGAGACCCTCCGAAGGAACAGAGCTGCCCCCCCCCCGTATCACCTGGCTGTCCTTGGAGCTGACTCAGTTGTGAGACAGGTGTTTGAAAGGAGCAGACTTCACACTCTAGTGGGATCTGGAAGATTCCCCTGGGTCAGGGCACCTGGGCTCTTCAACCAAGAACTGAGTCAAAACCCCTCTGCTGGTCCCTGAAGACCCTTCAGGGGAGGAGGAACGCTTTCCCTGCCAAATTCATGGTTCTTACCAGCAGGAGTAACTTTTCTTATCTGAATGAAATCTCTGATGCTGGCGTTGGGTTCAGAGGGGAAATACAGATTGGCTGGGGACTCTGCTGTAATAAAACTTCAGAATCTCGAAGACTCACTCAGCTGGACTGCCGCCAGGATGTGCTAAACATCTTTCCCACCCTTTGTTTTTCCTCACTGGGTTTGCTCGGTGAGTTTCATCTTGGAATCTTTTCCAAGTGCCCCACAGTCTGAGCTCTCCATCTGGGATGCGGCCTCATGAAATGTTTGATGCTGTCTACAGGCCACCTTCCTGTGTTCTTGCTAGCTGCTCTTTTCTGGTCCTCCCCTTGCCTGCCAGCTTTGATCTCATCCACAGATTAGTGAAGCACAGTGCCTCTCTACTCCTGGGGAGAAATCATTGTTCCTCTCCCCTCCTCCCATGCTTAGGGGGGCCCATCAGGACAAACACTTTGGGGAAACGAACCATTTACTCTTTAGGTGTTGGCATTTACCTAGAACACTCAACATTTTTGATGTTAGTGATTGATAGCAAGTAATACATTGAGCGTAAGTGTGGGACGTGCATCCTTGATAT